TATTTTCACTTAAAAAGTAAAAGAAAATTGTCAAAAATCCAATTGTTTTTACCCTTGTAAAAAGCGGCAAACAAATAAGTGGGCGATTCTGCATTTTAATTGATAATTTTTTCAAAGAGAAGGCATCATTCATTATAGAAAATTATGTTTGAACAGCCAACGAGATGAAATTATGCTTTAGCGATAACTCGGTAGCGAAATAGCGATGCAGGCATCCATTCAGTTATGTTTAGCAATTTTTATATAAATTATAATAATGATCTGAAATAGGTATTTATTCTTATGCTTCCATTCAGTCATGTTTAGCCTTTTTTATATATAAATTATAATAATAAAAAAGTATAATATGAAATTAACTTTTCATCTAGATTAAAACATCAATCTTAGATAGTTATTTACTATTATACTTCCTTTCTTGCATTAGTGTTGCTGCAATTATTTTTGGCAGCACTAGTTTGGCGATTTTTTTGCGGCCCTCAAAACCGAATAATACCGAAATCTCGCCATTTTAATTGAACGATCAACTTTATTAGTCACTCTTGCAGAATAACTGAAAAACATTTTAAGCACTTTCATTTTAATCTTCAAGCACAGATATTTGTGCCCGAGGTTTTTTTACATTTCTTACTGTTATTATGTTGGTAGCATAGCAACGCAAATATGTTACAATATGAAATAAAATTGCAATAGTATGCCCCCCCCCAAAAAAAAATGTTTATAAAAAAAAAATAATGACAAGTTGCAAATTACATTTAGTGCAAAATTTGAGATAGTTATTTTTGTATTACTTCATTTGTGTTAGGCATAAAAATGACAATGCTAGTTTTATTTTGTGATTTGTATTTAAAAGTTTGGATCTTAAGATTTTTAGGATATTACTGGATAATTGTTTTTTAGTTTCATCCAGAACAAATCAATTGATTCTTCTGTATGTTTTGCTTTGGACTAGTTCAGCCAGTCCCCATTAAGGAGTTAAAATGAATTAAACTACGTAGGTAAGTTGAAAAATAAGTTTTCCCTGTCAACTGTGGTCAGAGTTGTGTTTGAAAGTCAAAAAATGGAATGAGACATTAAAGATATGACATACCTTTATTTTATGATTCTCGTACGAGTACGTTGAGACATTTGTCATATCGCTTGATAAGCTTCAAAAAGTCCTCCAAGAAAAATTCATGCTTTGCATATGGAAGCGTTGAACGGCTATGAGTGAAAGGCGACACAGCAGGAAAACACTCAAGTCACCGATACACCATTGGGTAGAGGTTGCTGCAAATCAAGCAGACGGCGCTGTTGCAGTGTCTGCGCAAAGCGGAGACCAGCCTCTCATTTGAGCCCCGGTAGGTATGGAGAGAAGGTGCGTTTTGAATTCGTGGTCAAAGGAGGAAGTGAGAGCGGTTATCCGCTATGAATGAGCACGTGGAGTATCAGGAACAGAAATTCATAACCGCCTTGTGGAAGTCTATGGGCCAGGTGGGATGTCGAAGCAAATGGTGCGGAGATGGTGTCGTACATTCAGTGATGGGTGTCAGCAAGTGGAGGACATACCGAGAGCTGGACGGACGTGCACGTCCACTACAGATGCAAATGTCAGGAAGGTGGATGACATGATTAGAGCGAACTGGCGTATCACCATCGATGAAGTAGCGGAAGAACTTGGAATCTCACATGAGCGAGCTCAAAATATCATCCACGACATTCTTCGATACAGAAAAGTGTCAGCACGATGGGTGCCCCGACAATTGACCTCGACACACAAGGTACAACGCATGGGGGTCAGCCTGGAACATCTCGTGCGTTACCATGAAGATGGCAATGACTTTCTGTTTCGGATTGTGACGGGGGATGAAACGGGGGTCCACCATTTCGCGCCAGAATCGAAAGCCGCATCTATGGAGTGGAAACATCCGTCATCGCCTGTCCGAAAGAAGTTCAAGACAACTCCCTCTGCAGGTAAAGTGCTCCTCACAGTTTTCTGGGACGCCCAAGGAGTTTTGTTGCTGGACTTTTTAGAGGTTGGAACCATCAATGCTACGCGTACTGTGACACCCTGTCGAAATTGAAAGAGGCAATTCGTAAAAAGCGGCCTGGCCTTCTCACATCTGGCGTTCTGCTTTTGGATGACAATGCCAGACCACATTCGGCGACAGCAACGCAAAACCATATTGCAACTCTTGGTTGGGAGCGCCTACACCATCCGCCATACAGTCCTGATCTCACACCAAGCGACTTCCATCTGTTTCCGGCTTTGAAGAAATATCTCGGGGAAAGGCACTTTGGCAGCAATACTGAGGTGAAACAAGCCGTTCAACGCTTCTTCCATATGCAAAGCCCTGATTTTTTCCTGGAGGGCTTTTTGTAGCTTATCAAGCGATATGACAAATGTCCCAATGTACTTGGTACCTATGTGGAAAAATAAAGGTATGTCATATCTTTAATGTCTCATTCTGTTTTTTGACTTTCATACACAACTCTGACCACAGTTGAGAGAGAAACTTATTTTTCAACTTACCCTCGTACTTGTCTGATATTTCTTATATAAGGCTTCTTGTGACATTGAAGGGCCATTCAGACTGGGGTTTATCTGAGCTAACAGAAGCATCTGACATAGTCGACCCATCTCCAAAACCAGTTTTCTCGATAGGGCAGCCAGTTGAAAAATCTGAACTGCAGGTATATCAGAGCTAGTTGACACATGGAACTGACTCCATTAGCTCAAATAAACCTCACTATGAATGGCCCCTTAAGGTGTCGGAAAATCATACATGCACTGCTTAAGGAAAAAGTTTGTATTGCATGAGAACAGTCACATTACATGTAAGTACGTACAAAATAATTGTATTTATTGTCTGCATTTGTGAAATTTGATGGTGCACTTCAAGAATTTTGCTGGTTGAAAATCAATGGTTTAGAACAGAAGTTACAAAAGGCTGGGTAAGGACTTTTATGGACATGCTATGCAATGGACACTCATTAATTTGAACTCAAAGGTTCTCAGAAAAGAGTTCAAATTATCCACTGTTAAGAGGAAATAAAAGTGTCAAAGAAAGAATCTAAAGAAGAGAAATCTCCTAGTATGCATAATCCCAGGTAATACACTATACTGTGGTATCTAAAATTAAACATATTAAAAAGCAATAAAGATTTACCTTAATCATAAAATGAAGCAGAAGATGTGCAATAGAAAGTAAACTTTAATTAAAAATATGAATTACACTTTTGGGAAAAATTATAAAATGTTCCCCTGCCCCCATCTTCTCGGATGTTTTTGTTATGTTGCTCAGTTTTCCACAGTTCTTCATCTACCCTTACATAATCAGAAAAAGTAATATTATCAATATTGTCACAGTCTTCGATATCATTGTTTTCTGCATGAATTTAGCATGATGAAAGCAATTACTAATTGTGCTTTCTTTAACAGCATCCCATACAGTGTATAGAACATGTATAGCTGTGAGCAGTGTCATAGTTTTCACCAAAATCTAAAGAAAAAATTATCTGGTTTAAGAGTCTGTTATGATAATATATTTTAAGAATTTGGTTGATTCCTTTTTCACAGGTTGTAGCTTTGCAGTTGGGTTTGGTGGCAAATATTCAACCTGTAATGAACTCAGTTCTGGGAGGTTATTGGGGCAGGTTACATTATTCACAAATAAGAGAATTTTATGCTCTTCCCTCGAAAACTGCTTATATATTCCTTTTAGCCAGTTTCTGAAGATGTCATGTGTTATTCATGCTTTTGTATTAGATGCTTAATTGACTGGCAGTGTTCAGTTTCCTTTAAAACATAGTGGATTCTTGGACTTCTCAATCAGTAATAATTTAAGCTTTTTGCTCCCATCCATATTAGGGCAAACGAAAGCTATGATCCTCTGTTTACTGTCTTTATGAAAGCATTCCCTTTAAAATGTAATATCTTGTTTGGCAAGAGGATGGAATGCAGTTTCATCTGTGAGAAAAATTTATCTCAGCAGGCAGGTAGAGAAAAGCCTTGGTAAGTAGAGAAAGCTGAAATTAGCACATACGTCTTCATTTATATGAGTACTTTAGCCACCTGCAGTTTGGTAAGATACATTGTGCCTTGACTTAATTTGAGAAAGCCACCCATCATTGCATTTAAAATCTAACCCATTCGGCTCTCCAATCTGTCAGTCTCCATCTGAAGTAGCAGTCCATTTATTGGAAAATTTCGAGACTTAGCCTCTTGGAATCATAGCAGTTGAGCTTTACCTAGATTTTCTTGGGACACATTTCTCATGGGCTTCCTTCCTGTAACAAATTTAGATTTTCCCCATAAATCTAAAATTGATTCCTTGTTTTTCAAATGAGTTGACAAGAATTTTTTTTTTAATTCCTTGTCATTCTTGTTTTAGTCAGTTGCTAACTTTGTTTTAAGTTTGCCATTTTTTACTTTCTTTAAAATTCCTACCTTTGCCTCCAAAGTTAAAGTTTTGTACTTTCCACATGTAGACATCCTGAATTTTCTCACATTCATACCACGCACTGAGGAAGAAAAACTAAAGCTCATTAATTTATCTGCACTGTAGGGCATAAATGATGCAGATTAAAGACCCATTCTTAAAGATTCTGAATGAATCCAAGGGAAAAGGTTAGACCAGGGAGCTCTGTCCATTAAGCGCTGATAAGTAAACAGTAGGACAAAAGTGAGTATAATAATGAGTGCAGTATAATAATACCGGCTCAAATTTCCTGGATTATTTATTAGTTCTTTGTTCTGGATTATTTATTAAAGGGCAGAGAGCAAAATAAACTACGTATATACTCATGTAAATTTATGTACTGCTAAAAGTAATTTGTTGTACCTATATTTAAATAATAAAACAACACAAAATAATTTTTTAAATACAGAATCTTGGTGCATGTGAACAAATACTCCAGATCAGCTTTGGCAGTGAACATGTTAATTAAAAAATGTTATTATCTAGAAGATGTTTTATTATTACTTCTAAAATGAGTTATTTTCTCTTTTTTTTTTGGAACAGTGAATCGTGTGAGGAAGAGAAATGTAAAGGAAACAAAATCCTTAGTGCACCAGTGTGCCTTGGAAGTTTAGCTGAAAATTTTGAAAATGAGGCAGAGGAAGTTACAAGTATATGGTTAAAACAAAGAGAATCAGCATCTGTAAGTACTATTTTTATAATTCTTTAAATTAGTCAAATTATATATTACTATTTATTTTTTTAGAAAAATCATTTAAAAGTAAAAATTTTTATTTCTTTCTGCCACGTTTTAAAATGTCTTTATTTTCTCATTTTGGCAATTTTTGTATATCTATTTTTATTCTCAAATTTAAACAAAGTAATAAATTTTAAAGCACAATTTCTTATTACATAGAGTGCAGTATAATAATATAAACCACAATTCTTCATTTCTGATATAGCAAAAGCATAAAAGAGTACTGTAAATATATTAAATTCATCTGCCTAATTTTCCATTTTTTGTAGTATGTTCATAACTGTAACCAATTTAATAAAAAAATAGTAATTCAATAAAAAATTAAAAAATTTTCAACCTTTTTTACATATTATCGATAGGTTGGAATGTCTTTTACTTACTCCAGTAGAATTAGATATGATTGACAGTGCACACTATTTATTGCAATAAAACATGATTTCTATCTTTTTTTGATATTCTCTGATTATCCATTCAAACTTCCCACAAAGATGGCAACTAATGTTTCACCAATCCAATGCATAAAAAACTGTAAACATTAAAAAAAAAAAAAAAGTGGCACAGTATAAATTAATCAAACAGTAACAAATTAATAGAAATAAAAATGTAAGGAACATCCATAATGAAACTATGAAAATTGCATAAAACTAACATTATTAACTTTCTTTTTTCCTGGTCCATGTCCATTATATTTCAATTTTTAAAAACATCATTAATTGTAGAATTCTTCACATTGCAGAGCCAGTTGGCACTCTTCTCCATGTGCATATCAACTTGTTTTAACTTTAAAACAAAATCGGAGAATTTCAGAAATTAACTACTTAAAATGTACATTCATTTACTAGGCAAAATGCTATATTTTATGGTATGACCATGACTGTAACCAATTTAATAAAAAATAAAAATAAATTAATTCAATAAAAATTTTTAAAACTTTTTTACATATTATGGATAGGCTTTTTTTATTTATTTATTTATTTTTTTATTTATTACGTGCTCCGCCCTTAGGCACTACACGGATTATGGATAGGCTGGAACGTCTTTTACATACTCCAGTAGAATTATGTATGATTGGCAGTGCACACTATTTATTGCATTAAAACATGATGCTACTAGGCATTCAGTACTAGGCAAAATGCTATATGTCTGAGAAAAGGCAATACTTTCTTTTTCAGTAGCAGACGGACTCCACAGTGGCATTGTGATTCTTTACAAGGAAAAAAAAAGTTCCATAACAAGCAGAAACCTTGAACATGATCTTCAAATTTCACACACCTCAGCGCTGTGTGGTCGATTTTTTCAGTATGATGCGAGCCTTCAAACTGTTTTGATGTACTTAAATGTTTTGATTTTCCTGCTCATGCCACCCCCTTATAGTCCTGTCTGACATGGCTGCCTCTCCTCATAGCATGGAATAGCCATGATGCACATTACAAGCTAGCATAATATACATGGTGCCAGATAAATACATTTTTGTAAAATTCTGAGTTGCCTACTTTGTCGACAGTGTTTTGCCTGGTGATTTTTATCAGGATTGGGTGGATAAACAGAGAGTACCCTTTTCTTGGCTTGCTTTACCCTATAACAGTGAAAGCATTTTTATTGTTTGCATTTCTTTATTATTCACTTGCTTTCTATGGGTGAAGTTAATTGATGTATTCATTTAAAATATGTCGTGCACATGCACAGACATTTATGTAAATGATGAGATATACTGAAATATTTAATGTCTAGCACCTGAGAAAACAATTTTTTAAAAAAAATGTTCATGGCTTTCCTGCTTTTACAAGATAAATTTTGAGTAATTCTTTTCTTTATGAAATTAATGTATCTTTAGTTGCTGGGGAAATAATTTTTATTATAAATGCTTTGCTTAAAATTGTTTAAGGTACAAATTTCCCAGGATTGAGATTTCAGTTTCTTTTTAGTATTACAATTTTTGTATTTTAAGTTTTTTATGCAATTTTGTGCACCTTTTTGAAACTTATGAATTCTTTGAAGTATTAGATTGTAATCTGAAGTTTTCAGTTTGCAGTTTTTTGAGGGGGGGATGAGAAAGGAAAGGATATTTTCTTCTATATGAAATAAAATTATTCAGGTATAAAATTTCTTCCTTTTTGAACATTTATTAATTTATTTATAAAATTTTAAAGATTTTACTTCTTTTCACCCCACATTCTTGTTTTCAAGCTGCCCCTCCCCCCTTTTTTTTGTATAATAAGAATATATGGCAATATTACTGTTCATATTTACTGAAACAATGGAATTTATCCTATCTTTATTAGTTTGTTCATCATAAAATTTAAGTACTAATCTTTACTCTGCTCCACTTTTAACCTTTCAATTTGTTTGAATTGATCTCCCCCTCCCCCTTTTTTTAATACAGTTTGTTGATCAAAGGAAACTTGAGAAAGCTGAAGCAAGGCTAAAATCTAAGCAAGAAAAACGAGACAATAATGAGAAACCCATTTCAGGGTAATGTATGCTTTCATTTTGACATACCTTGATTTTTCTGGAAGACAATAAAACTTTTAAGTAATTAAATATATGAAACAGTGAGATCATATACTTAAATTTTAATTTAGTTTATTAAATAAAAGCCTTATTTGAAAAAAAAAAAAAAAAATGTTTTCAAATATTTTGAAAATTGTCCTAAATGTGGAGTCCTAATTTTTTCAAGAAATAATTGTAAATTCACAGTTCTGGTTCATGAACAAAACATAACAGTTTGTCAGGGATGCCATGCTACCTGTAAAACTGAAAAAGTCAGGGAATTTAAATATTTTAGTGAAAAGTCAGGGAATTGCATACTGTAGAGAAGAAGATTGATGGGCGACATCATTGGGAATGGGGGAAGAAGTTTTTGGAAGAAAGAGCATAGCCACAGAATATTTAAGTGTGAAACAAAGAGAGAAGAGTCCACCACTTTCTGACCAAGATTTCCTCCCAATATAACTAGCTGTCTAGCAGAATGTGCCAGGGATAAAAAATTTCTCCCTAATCATAGTTATAATCTGAGAACAAAAGTAAAATTATATACAGGTGACAGTTTTCATACCTGTATTGAGTTACTTCCTTCAGGAATGAAAAATTTATTGCACTCCTGGAGAATAAGCCATTGACACATGGGCGAGGGCTTTTCTGTCTCCTCAATTTTCATCAAAGTGCTTGTTTCCCAGAGAAAGACAAGCATACGTTCAGAAATTAAAATTGTTTTCAAGATGGATTTATTATTAAAACAAATTCTTGAAATTCGAAGAATTTTATGCCGAAATTGTGGTTTAATTACAGAAATAAAGAGCTGGAGCCCTCTTGTTTAAAAGCTCGGGTAGAATTTAAGCTTATCTCAGATACTGAGAAATACTGACCCCAGGCTCTGGTGGGCTTCAGTATAATTGAAGCTCTGTTGAGAACTGTATAATGTCATTTCTAAATGAAAGTTTTACATTCAAGTTTCAATTTTTTACAGCTGGTAAATCAGTACTTTACAGCATTAGCTTACAGAATAGCATTTAATCCCTACTTCAATGGATCTTGAATTAATGAAGTAAATTTTATAATAGTTTAAAAAAATGTAGGAGATCCTAAAACACAATCAATTCTGCATTTTATGAAACAATACCTTAGCACTAGCATTGATACTGAATATTTATTATCAAAAATCTATTTATGCATAAATTATGATGTGAAGTTGTTTTTCTTTTTACGCATTAAAATCTGTCGTTTTTATTATAATTAAACTCTATTATCTCTGAGGTGAAAGCTGTAAATTATGGTTTTATCCTGTTATATAACAATAGGAGATTTTCATAACATGAAGGAACAGACTTATGATTTCAGTATCTATGGTCATTAGACTACTGGTTGTTAATATGCAGTTCTAAGATACCTGGTCTCTTTAATCCAAATTACCTCCAGTTTTGGGAATTAGAGTGTATACATGTAAACAAAATGATCATCGTGACAGATTTTTTTTTCTTTATCATTTGTGTACTCTGGGGTAAATTTAAGATGAAATATTAAAAACCTAAACCATATAAGATTTCTCCGATTTCAATTTGTATACCAAATCAATAAGCTTTTAGTTTTACAGAATAAGATATTAATTGAATATATTCTAATTAAAATTTGTATGTTATTATTTTTTTTCATGGGGAGGACAGTAAATACGTGCGCATGCGTCTGTTGCTTAAATGCTGAATATCTGTTATTGACCCTATAATTTATTCTTCCTTGTACAGTCAAAAGTCTTTAATCTGGACTCGTCGAGACTTCGGCGATTCTCAATTATAGATCATCAGTTTAAATCTGGTAAGATGGCATGCAGAAATTATAAAACTAAAAATATGAAACCTAATTTATGAAATAAAGAGCAATTATGATCTAAAGGGTATCAAAATTTACACACACACACACAAAAAAAGCTTAATATTTATTTGTTTATTTTATTAAACATTTCTTTCAATGCGTGCATGCATAAAGCATACATTACACATATTCGAAATTAGAAAATTGCAACTAGATATTTATTTGATGTATATTCGTGATATTTATAATGAAGAGGAATTTGATTTAAATCATATCAAAGATGGAGTACATTGAGAATTAATACTACATTTAGTAAGGAATTATAAGCCGAATAAAATAAAAGCATCTGCCCTGAAGATAAGGATAATGCTGACAGATCAACTTCCAGTTCATTGTGCGCTGCTACGTCCCCCCCCCCCCCCCCCCCCCCGCAAAGCAGCATGAAATTGATAAACAGATTTCGGAATGGTTAAAGAAACGAAGGATATGCCTTTATCCGTTTTTTGCAGCAATTCCACTTTTTGTTTGATGGATATCGAAACATGCTTTTGCTTTGTAGATCTTTTGGCAGCTCCAGAATCGGAAATTCTTTTTGACATAATCGAAAGTTCAAGCTTACTTTTATAAAAATGCTCTAACAGTCTGCAAAAAATAATAAGCCGGATCCAATTAGAAGATTAAGGAACAATGCAATCTGCAACATTAACTGAAATATGTAATTAGATAATTTTAGCTTAGCTTATACTGTCCTTTATACATTAAACGCACATGCATAAAGATATTGCACAGAAAGTTTGTGACTTTGAGGTTCGGATTATAGATCATTCCGGATTATGGACATCCGGAATAAAGACTTTTGATTGTATTATAAGTTTGAAATAATATAAATATTTTTAAGTCTAAATCAATCTAGAAAACGGGTTTATACTAATTTGAATAAAAGACATGTGTATTGTGATATCTTTTTGTTAGATAGAAAGGGAAAAAGAAACATGTAAATTTTATTTTCTTATTTACTTTGCTTGGAAAATTCATTTTTATTATACCATAATAAACTGATTAATAATGAATTAAAATGCATTTATTTGTGAAATCTTGTTAGATTTATTGATTTGTAATGCATAAAAACTATAAATTATTCTATATTCAGTATTTTTGTATAAAAGCCTCCACAGATATTAAGTTGCATACATTATAGGATGTATATAATAAATTACAACTAGTTATATATATTGAGATTTAAAAAATAAAATGTTTCATTGGAATAAATCGTGTTGATTCAGAGTTTTTCCCTCCCTAATTAGTGGTGCCATTATAAACAAAGAAGCTACTGCTGTGCAGGCTAGTAGTAAAAAGGAATCAAGAATGGAACTAAAAGGATCCAATAAAAGCATGGATATCAAAATTGAAAACTTTGATATTGCTTTTGGTGATAAGTAAGTTCTTACTCTCTGAAGTACAAGAGATTATTTTTAGTAATATTCATATTTGTTTGCAGTTTTATTTATTATATAATGTCTATCTTAAATTTTAAAAATTACTTCTGTATAATTTCAATTTTCTAATTATCAGGAGTGCAAATAAGTCTTCCCTGTTTTTTTTTTTTATGAAAAATTGTGCATTTATTGTGAGAGAATTAAACATTATGTTTTATTCAAAGTATTGTTCATTGCTAGCCACCGTTTTTCCAATCTTATTCTGGCAGCATGCGGATACTGCCTCAGAAGAACACTTGATCTTTCGAGGATCATATACCATATACAACATGATTTTTTTCCATGAATATTCGGTTTGGCTGTCAATATTGAAGCATGGCCAGGTGTTGCCCACGATTTCTTCTTTAGGGTATCATAGTGGATCCATTTTTTATCACCAGTGACTATATGATGCAAAAAAACCTTTCATTTATGCTCGGCAAGCAGCATTTCACGTGTTAAAAATTAGTGTTCAATGTTTCTCAACTTCAGTTCAGCCTCCTTACAGAAGCTTCAGTTCAACCCAATATCCTTGCTTTTGGATCATTCCCAATGATTTTAAATGATGTGAAATAGCTTGTTGAGTCACTCCTAACGTACATGCAAGATCTACTTGTGTTTCGCACGAATTTTCACAATAACGTTTCCAATTCCACTTCTTTGTGCCTTTTCATCCCTCACCTATGTTCTTTGTCTTTAATGTCAGATTCACCGTTCCGAATTTTTTGAAACCATTCATGACTACTTCAACTTCTCACCACGTATTTCTACAAGCAAAAAAAAAGTACAGTGGCTCAGACAAATGATTGGACACGTTGAGTTTTTGTATTCTTTAATGAACATAAAAACTAAAATAAATTAAAACAAAAAGAAAGGCTTTTATTTTTTTATAGCAAGTACATTTTCAATAAGATAAAAATTAAATTCAATTATCAGTATCGTTTGTTTAATGAGAAATAATATTCTGACAAAAATAATTGGACACTTTTTAGTAACAGCCAAAAGTAACAGACTTGCACTATTTTTTTGCTTCTTAATATCTTGTGGGGTTTGCTTTACACTTGATCACACTACATTTAGTCTTTTGGGTAGTGACTCCACGAATTTTTTTTTTTTTTTTTTTTTTTTTTTGTTGTTATTTTTGGACTTATTTTATGCCATTCTCCTTGAATCATTGCTTTTAGTTGTTCAATAGGATTAAAATCTGGCAATTGGGGTGGTGCCTTAACTACTGCTGGACACTTATATAACAGCCAGAGTCTAACATTTTGTACAGCATGCTTTGGATCATTGTCCTGATAGAATTTGGAACTATTTCGTATGTTAATTTTTTGTTCTGATGATGGCATATTTCACTTCAAGATGTCAAGGTACTTATACTGATCCATAATACTCTATATTACCAACACCGGAATGTGCCATAGATCCCCATACCATTAACCCCTTCGCACCGACTGTCACGTATACGTGCCAGCAACGAACACACTTATCTACCGGCCGACATGCAGGTGTGCCAGAGCATTGTTGCGTTTACTACCGACTGTCACGTATTTGTGCCAGTACCCTGGAACGTTTTCAAACTATAATTTCTGCCACAAGATGGCACTGTATGTCCATATGGTTTCAGATACATGTACATTAGACCTTCTACTTGAAATCAGAGAAGCATGACTCACATACACGTGTTTTTGATTATATAAACAAACGGGGAACTAAATGTTTCCGAATGGCGTGATTTATGACGTCTCTTTAAATCGCACTTTATTTGCATGTGGTAGTTGTTTATTGTAAGTAGAAGTTTTATATGCACTAAAGCATCGAGTATTTCGGTTTACAGTTCAGTTTTTCGAAAATAGATCTTGTTAGACGTGAATTCTTTCTGTTTTTACCGTTTCAATGAAGAAGCGTTGAAAATGTTTAACAGAGCATGAAGTAGCAGAAATGATGCAAAATATTTCAGATATTGATTCTGAAATTCTGATATTCTGATATTGATTCTGAAATATTAACTGAAAGACATTTTCCAAAACTTTGTTCAGAAGAGACTGATAAGAAAATGAGACGACGATGCTTCGTTTGTTCATGTTCCCGGAAAAATCCTCCAAAACAATAAATGAGTTATTACGAGTTCAAGGAATGTAACGTAGGATTGTGTGTAGATCTCTGTTTTCGCCGAAAATTTTTCATACAAAAAGAGAATTTTAAGTAATATATTTAGTTTTCAGATGTATAATGTTAAAAGTCATAAAATGGTGAGTAATTAAAATAAAATGTGTAAAATATGCATTTAAACAAGAAATAAGGTAATTAAAGTATATATATAAAAATATCTATAAAGCATAAGCCGTTTAAATACTCTATAGAGCATTATTAAACAATGCGTTGATACTTCAGAAATTTCATGGATTTATAGGCTTAGTAGCAAAAAAACCCCCGGCCCTGGAGAGACGCTCGCGGAAGACACTGCCGGCCTCCGCGATAAGTGCACGTTTTCGCTACCCGGCTCGAAGGGGTTAACTCCTTCTCTGCCGTGTTTAATGCCTGCTACTAATGTTTCCAAAATTTTTCTTTGGGTTTTCTCTGCACCAGCACTTGTTGATCTGAACCAAAGATGTTAAATTTGCTTTCATCAGTAAATCTGTGAGCAAATTTAACATTGACAAATTAAAAAAACTTTCTTCCAGTAGTCTGGTGTCTTATCGATTTTGCGAAACAAGTCGAAGTTTGCAATTTTTTTTTTAACTGACATAAAATTTTCTTCTTGTTACTTCCCCATGATATCCTGCAGATCACATTACTCTTCTTACAGTTTCTGTATTTATCTATAATTCCATATAATTCTTGAAGTTCCATAACAAGTTTAGGAGCACTCAGTCTTAGATTCTTTCTAGTATTTTTTAAAATAACACATTTCATTCCATTAGCTAACTTAGATGGTCTTCCAGGTCTTTTGTTTTGAATATGATTCTATTTCTTATATTCTTAATAATATAAAAACTTGTAGAATTACTTAAGTTAAATAAGCAATTTTTCTAATAGGTTTCTCTTTCTCTTGATGCAAATCAGTAATTAATCTGCGGGTTTCTAACGATGTTTCCTTTTGTGACCAAGCCATTGCAAGAACATATTAAAATAAAGAATATTTTCTAAAATTCAAATAATAAAAGCAAAGAATTTTTAAATTGTTGCCTAGCTTCTTAATCCAAACTAATTCCATAAAATTTTGTTTTCTTATTTGTTGCAGATGATTTTTAATTGGAAATTATGAAAATATCCAATTAATTTTGTGGTATCTTTTTATTCCATTTCAACCCAAAACATTATTTTTTTAATTCACTATTTAATTTTTCAAATTTATTTAGTGCAAAGATAGAGCTAATCAAATATGTCTTGAAAGGGAAAATAATCTGTATTACAGTCAAAAGTCTTTAATCCGGACTCGTCGGGACTTCGGCGATTCCGGATTAGGGGTTTTTCCGAATTATAGATCATCAGTTTAAATCTGGTAAGATGGCATGCAGAAATTATAAAATTAAAAACATTAAACTGTAATTTATGAAATAAAGAGCAATTATGATCTAAAGGGTATCAAAATTTACAAAAAAAAGAAGCTTAATATTTATTTGTTTACTGTATTAAACATTTCTTTTAACGCGCGCATGCGTAAAGCATACATTATGCATAGCCGAAATTAGAAAATTGCAACCAGAAATATTTTTGATTTGTATTCGTGATATAATGACGAAGAATTTGATTTAAATCATATCAAAGACAAAGTACATCGAGATGAAACACTACATTAATAGATTGTAAGCGAAAAATAAACTTGCCTGAGATAACGAAGGTGCGTACTCATTCCCCCCCCCCAGGCATAAAAAGATTTAACGACAAGAAGCTTTCCATTTTGGAAATCACTTTGATGAACTTTCGTTTCGACTGGCGCTTTTAGCCGGGTCAGTCAAAAGCAAATGTCTCCTATGCACAAGCCACTAAATCATATCGGTCAATAAGTACACAAACATCGCATAGCACACAGAAGAAGATACCTGAACCAAAAACAAATGACAAAGAAAAAGTCTTTCTTCTACCTCCTCCCAAACAGACAATAGAAAGTCGAGAAATAAAAACACAAGAAACAGAGAGTTCAAAAAAGAAAATCAAAAGCTCAGAAAAGAGAAGCTCAAGCCGAAGCTCTATTGAAGGGACCTTTTCAGACTTTATCGAATCTGAGATGGAAACAGATGGAGGCAGAGATCTCTCGAAAAATGTTCTACCTCACAAAACAAAGAAACAGCATCGAAGCAATAAACATTCCTAATGGCTACTCTCATTTCGTGGAACTGCCGGGGCTTCTATCAGGGTATTGATGGCATTAAGCAACTTATTAATAAATATCGACCTATTTGTATAGCGATACAAGAGACATTCCTCAAACCTGGTAATTTTGCAAAGCTACGTAGATACTCGATGACAAGAAAGGATAAGACATTCAGTGAACGCGCAAGTGGTGGTGTCTGTCTACTCACCTCAATTAATTGCCCTTCGAGTGCTCTCCCTTTGGATACTCCTCTCCAAGCAGTTGCAGTACAGTTGAGCATTCGAACACTGACTACTGTCTGCAGTATTTACATCCCGCCTAATGAGAACATTAATTTAAGAGATTTAGAGGATCTAATTGCCCAACTACCAGCTCCGTTTATTCTAGTCGGTGATTTCAATGGACACAATCCCTTGTGGGGTAGTAAAGACACCAAACCCACGAGGAAAGCAAATTGAACAGCTACTCCACGACCACTGTCTCTGTATCCTTAACAACGCAGAAAGCACTTATTTTCATCAGCCAACAAGGACCTTCCATTCCATTGACCTTGCTATTGTTTCTCCACAGCTTTTGCCTTTTTGTTTCTTTAATGTCGAGAATTATCTATATAATAGCGATCATTTTCCTATTATCATAAGCATTACAG